GGAACTGCTTTTAGTTTATGTTTAAGAAAGTACTTTTGGCTTTCAGCTCAGAGGAGGTGAAGGTGCAACTATCTTCTGTCGTCCCCAGTCCGGGTTCACCCAACATCAGCTGCCTCTACCATGCCACCTAAATTTGACCCCAACGAAATCAAAGTTGCATATGTGAGGCACACTGGTGGGGAAGTTGAGGCCATGTCTGCCCTGGCATAATCAGCCCCCCTGGGTCTTTCTCCAAAAAAGGTTGATGACGACATCACCCATCATTACAGTGAAACTGACATGCAGAACAGACAAGCCTGGATTGAAGTGGTACCTTCTGCCTCTGCCCTGATGATCAAAGCCCTCAAGGGACCACCAAGAGACAGAAAGAAGCATAAAAAACATTATGCGCCATGGAAATAGCACTTGGGATGTGACTGTCAACACTGCCCAACAGATACAGCCTTGAGCCAGAGAATTCTCTGGAACCACCCAGTCTGTGGGCTGCAATGTTAATGGCACCACCCTCATGATATCACAGATGACAGTGGAATGTCCAGCTCGTTAAAAACCAGAAAGGAAAATATTTCAATAAAGAATCATTTGAGGGTGCCTGGGTGGCTCAGTGGGTTAAAGCCTCTACCTTCGGCTCAGGTCATGATCTCAGGGTCCTGGTATGGAGCCCCACATCGGGCTCTCTGCTCAGCAGGGAGCCTGCTTTTTCCTCTCTCTCTGCCTGCCTCTCTGCCTACTTGTGATTTCTGTCTGTCAAATAAATAAATAAAATTAAAAAAAAAAAAAAGAATCATTTGACAACCAAAAAAGAAAAAAAATATACTGAAGTCTAAAGTAGCCTTAATGTGAGTCAGATTACTAAGGATAATAAAATTCTCCAAGAGAACCAATTTGCTAATCAAGAGGGGGAGAAACGATCCTGTTTCCTGGTGCCCTCTTGTGATAAAATAGCATGTCTACACTGGGGATTAAAAAGGTTTAAGATTGAAGAATCTGAAAGAGGTCATCTCCCTTCATTAATGGTTGGACTGAACACTAAGAACTAGCCACCAAAAGGATGTGCTTGAGGTGGGCCACAGGGTCAGAAGTATTTCCTCTCCACCTCATAAATTATCTAAAATGACATTACATTACTTTTAGAAGTAAAAACAACAAAAACACCACCATGATTTACCACCACAGTTAGTTAATAATAAGCAGAACCACTTTAAAGTTTTGAACAGAACAACCTATAGCCCTAACATGAGGACCATCTTTTAGTAATTTTTTTTTAAGATTTTAAGTAATCTCTGCACCCAACGTGGGGCTTGAACTCACAACCCAGAGATCAAGAGTCACACACTCTACCAAGTGAACCAGCTAGGCATCCCCCTCTTCTAGTAATTCTTATTTAATTCAGGGGGAAGACCAATAATTCTTTTTAAGTTTTCCTATTGTTTTGCCTCACTGTTTAAGAACTTTTTTAAAAAAGATTTTGTTTATTTATTTGACAGAGAGAGAGAGAGAGAGAGACAGTGAGAGGGAATACAAGCAAGGCGAGAGGGAGAGGGAGAAGCAGGCTACCCGAGGAGCAGGGAGCCAGATGCGGGGCTCGATCCCAGGAACCTGAGCCGAAGGCAGACATTTAACGACTGACCACCCAAGCACACCAAGATCTTTAAAAATAACAAAGACTAATAAGTAAGGCAAATCCTCAGCTGTTTTCCTAACTAGCATTTAGGAAGCCCACTATATTATAGAGTCTCTAAAAGGCAGGGCCGAATGGGGTTAGGATCATGAACTCTGGAGCCAAATGCCATTTACTTGCCAGTGACCTTAGGACAGTTACTTAACCTGTCTGTGCCTCAATTTCCATATCTGTAAAATAATAATATTACTTACCTGACTATTCAGAGAATTAAGTGACTTCATGTGTAATCAACCAGTTATGTGTAAACTGCTTTTAACAGTGCCTGACACGTAGTAGGTTCTATACACATTTAATAAATAAATGCAAATTTTTTAAATGTCAGTGAGTTTACTAAGTATGTATTAAGAATGGTTTTTCTGGAGGCACCTGGCTGGCTCAGTTGGTAGAGTGTGTGACTCTTGATCTCTGGGTTAAGTTCGAGCTCCATGTTGGGTGTAGGAATCAATTAAAAAATTTAAAAAAGAATAGTTTTTGTATTATTTTCAACACTCTCTTATTCAACATTCTTACCCTTTAGGATTGTTATTAACAATAACTTCTACTTAGCCTAGAGAAGTTAAATGTATGCTTAATGAGATATTTATTTAGGGACAAGTAATCTAAATTTCTAAGAAGATGGTGTTCAGAGAAGGTTATGACTAAGACCTCTGATAATGTCATGTGCTATGCCCATTAATGAGGAGAAGTTCTTCTAGAGCCCATTTTCCCCAATGTGGAGGCCCTTGAGAGATACTGACTGTGCATTAGCAAGGAACCCAGGCATAACCCAGGATGTATGTGTGTGTAGTTTTAGAATATTAACCTGAATTCTTGGATGCTCCTCCCTTGAGTGTAAGATAGACTTAGTGACTTGTTTCTAAGAAATCAAATGAGGGGCGCCTTGGTGGCTTAGTCAGTTAAGCGTCTGCCTTCAGTTCACGTCATAATCTCAGGGTCCTGGGATTGAGCCCCTGTGGGCTCCCTGCTCAGCGGGGAGTCCACTTGTCTCTCTCCTTCTGCCCTTCCCCAACGAATGTACGTGCTCTCTCAAATAAATAAAATCTTAAAAAATAAATAAATAAAATGAAGTGGGAGTGATGGCGACAACGTCCTTCCTCGCTTGGATCTGAAGGAAGCTGAAGGAAGCCAACTGCCAGGTCATAAGGATACCCAACAGCCCAGTGGAGAGGCTCGGTAAGGAATGGAGGCGTCCTGCCAACAGCGCTGTGAGGCAGTCATCTTGTAAGTGGACCAGCCAGCCCCAGTCCAGTCTTCAGATGACTGCAGGTCTGACTGACTGCTTGAGAGAAACATGAGGCACACAGAGCCAGAACCGCCAGTTAAGCCACTCTTCGATTTGACCTGTGGAGATCATGTAAGATAATAAATGTTCACTGCATTAAGCTGCTACATTTTGGGGTAATTTTCTACACAGGACAGGTAACTATTACAGTGTGTGCTCATGGATGAGTAAAAGAGCAGTACGAAGTACCCTTTCTAGACCTGATACTGCCCGACCAGTGAAAACCTATCATCTTGACCCAAGAGCTATTGCCACCTTGCAATTAGATGCTGTGATAAAATGGTTTCTTTCTTCTCCCTGCCCAGTTGCTACTTCTTACATCCCAAGCATGTCAGGGTTTGTCCTACCCCTTAGTATAACTGCCCATAGTGTCTGTGATGAAGTTTGAGTGCAGTCTCAGCGAGACAGAGACTGTTAGTATGACAAGGCAAGTAGCCTGGCTATGGAGAAGCCCCAAAGAATGAAGCTTGCACAATACACTGTCTGGGTTTTGGTCGTCCTAAAGGGTCAGGAACTCTATTTTTCAGAATGTTCAGAACTTTATAGACTAAACTGACAGACTTGGGGGCCGAACCATACAAATTAAATTCACACGAGACTAATGTATAAACCAGGAAGCTTCTCTGAATTTCCTATGTGTTGAAATGGAATTCTGGTGCTCTCAGCAGAGTTCCTCCTTTTCGGGAGTGATAGCTTGGAGGTCATGTGAGCAAATCAGAAGGTGGTTCAGTTAAGGTTGCAATTAGAGCCTAAAGTGAAGAGTCTCAAGGTATGTTCTTCCCCAGCCACAGCAAGTCTTGATAAACTGATACTATCTGATGAAGAGAACACTTCTGGCCACTAAACTGCTCACATGTCTTGGATTTAGTACTTCCCTTCCATGGTTAACTCTGTACGTACACTGTCATATTTTGTTTTTCCAAGCTCTTGGCAAATTGACTATTTCTGTTCACATTTTCTTTCCTCAATGAGTTAGTATTATTTAAAAACCACAGTGTACCTAGGAAACACTGGGGCTCACCTCACCACTTGCTGACTTAATTAGTTTAAGTCTTTGGGGGTATCTTATTACCATGTCCTTGGAGGTGTCTCACTATTGTCTTCACACGTTAGTTTGAATAGTTTGGAACAGAGGACATTTATTAGGATATCAGAGCTTGTACAGAGATAATATTTTAGAACTGGCATAGCCTCTGAAAGGCAGTTTTGTAATTTCTGATCTTTTATCTAGAAAACTTCCATGATCAACAAAATCTGAAGTTGAGATCACCAGGAGCTGAAAAATGAATAAATAGCAGTTATCAAAAACAGGGCATTTACGTGATATTATCCTTTTTTCAATCCACTATATGTGATAGTACAGTTTTCTAACTTGAGTCATGACTGTTCTTACCAAAACTGAATCATTCAAATTTGGAACAAAGGCTAATTTGTACCTGTCAGTTTCAGAACTTCAAAAATTGCTTTTACTATATAATTAAATATTTAATTTTAAGAGAAAATATCTTAGTACTCAGTCTTAGTATTAATCAACAGCTATTGATTAAGTATGTTCCATCAAGTACACACTTGAATTATTAAAACTTAGAAAACAATAAAATCCTCAATGTTGCCATTATGTAACTAGACAAATCATAACAACATCAACAGTCTTCAGCAGTATGCCAAAATCATTTCATAAATTTATAAATATATCAAAATCTCTTTCAGTTTTATTGTCTTCAGAAACCCAGGACCACTCAATGGCCATTTACTTGTCATTTTCATCAGAGATTATTCTTAACTGATTTTGTATGCTACTGAATACATCTTTCCCTAATTATTTCTGTTTTACTAAAATGAAAATACATTTTTTTTCTCTTGGAAACAAAATTAAGTCAAATTAATTCAACAGCTGTGAAAATTCCACCTGAAATTTTAAACAGCTCCAAAACCACAGAGGAGAAGATAAGCACATTAGCTTTAATGTAGCTAGCATGCAATAAAAAGGAAAAGATCTATTTTGGGAAAGTTAACACACGTAGAAAAATCAATTAAAGCATGTTCACTAAAAGTCCTGCCAATAGCATTTTTATTTAGTACAATATATTCTAGAATATAAATACACAGCAATATGTCCTTCCTTATCACGGAGAGTCTTTTATACAACTAAAATCCATAGCTGACATTTTATCTGACAAAAGAAAAATAAACTAAACCTGTAAATTCTCAGGAGAAAGGATATAAGAAAATAATGCATTTTATATAAATTACAAAGGACAGTTACAGTGAAAACCCATTACCTTCCTCTCTAACTCAATTTTACAAAATAAAGTCAACATGGATTATTCTGGGAACTGCTAAGAATGCATGAACACTGTGGCCCTTTCAAAAGACAGTGGTCAAAGACAAACTCTTATCTTGATGTCATATATTGTTCTTAGTTCTTAACTGGAGTTGAGCTTCCTTTCATAGTCTTCTTTAGGTGGTGGTAGTTTGGCAAGATTTTCATCAGGAAATCCAGCTGTAGTGTCTGGGGCTAAAAAGATAAGATAATTATGGACTGACAAGCAGAAGGCAAAGAATGCCAGGCAGAAATAATTACCACCACGCCAGGGAAATATAGGTGATTTTCACTGGCTTATTTTTGCTTACCTGTTTTTTTTTTTCTTTTTAATTTACAATGAATATATGTTAAGTTTGGTAATGAGAAAAAGCCAAAAGATTTTACATATAAAATTATACAGGACTCGGTTTTCAATCCTGCTTTGGCAGACTTTACCCTGGCCTCCAAAAAGTTAAACAGCTCTAATCACAGACAGCAACGTGAGCAGAAACCTGGAGCACAGGGTTTTGCACAGGACCCACACAGCACGCGGCTGCAGGCCTCAGCGGCTCTTCCCCCTTCCTGTATCAGCTTTGCCCCAACTTTCCTCACTGTGAAACTCACAAGGGGCACTCGTGACAAATACGGAGTTTCAGGCCCCTCCCCTAGACATTGTGATTCAATAAGTCTGGGCAGTCCTTCTTTTAATAAGGACCTCTACGTGATCACTGTGATCACTGAAATGTGGAAAACAGTATGCATTAAACTTCAGATATTCTTGCTTACTTAACTCTAATCTCCCTTAACCCAATTCGTTTCTCCCTCTTCGATCATTTTTGCTGTTATGAGAAAGACAGTGAAAAGAAAAACAGATTTGTTCTCATTGCCTTTTTAGTCTATAGAAGTCATACTTGCCTATAATAGTAATAAAAGCCAAACGTCAGAAAAACAGAATAGCCCAAAGAGAACTGGAGTTCTAATTTCTGATAAAATATGGCTAAGATTCAGATGCGAAGTGATAAATGACTTAAAAAATATTTTCTTTGTGGGGAGGGGAAAGAGGCTGGGTGACTAAAGCACTATATTATGGGCCAAGTGATGAGGATCAAGACCTCAATTAGAATGTCTTCTGTCCAAAGAAAGCCCCAAATGCCCTATCTTATTTACCTCCTCAATGAAACTCTAAATAAATATTCTTCATTGTTCTCGGTTCTTAGGAGGAAAAGATAAATTCTCATAAGCCAGGAAAATATCCAAATACATTTGCATATTCACCAACTGTGTTTATTTTCAAGTAGTCTATGTTGGTAAACTAATAGATGGATCTAAGTTGGCTGCCCGATAGACATTTGGTAGGGTCATTCCTTACCCTGGAGGATTAATATTTTAAGAGTGAATCAATAGTTTATAAAGTTTGGTGACACATCTTTAGTGAAAACACATAAGACCAGGAGAAACATCTCTGGATTTCTTTTTTTCTATCAATATGTCATTGTCATCTTTGTACATATTTTTGGTAATAACTTGAAGACTGAATAATTTCACTGCAAATAAATTCTAGTTTTAGGAGTGTTTTTCTGATGTTTTATTTTAATCGTCTGCTTTTTAAATAGCAGACTGCTGTCCCATTAAAACAATCATGTGACATTTTGGGGAAAATCAGCAGCCCTAGAAAGAACTTTCAAGTATAATTAACAGTGTTGTATGAGTTTCAAGCATACAACATAGCAACTCAACAATTCCATACGTTACACAGTGCTCACCATGATGAATGTAGCCGCCATCAGCAACCATACACTATTCTTACAATATTACTGACTACATGCCCCGTGTTGTACTCTTCATCTCTTTGACTTATTTATTTTATAACTGGAAGCTTGTACCTCTTTATTTTATCCACCCTCCACCTACCTTCCCTGTGGCAACCACCAGTTTGTTCTCTATATATAATTCTGTTTCTTTTGGAAAGAACTCTTTTTAAAGACAGGTTCTAGTACCTGTGGCCGCTCAGTCTGCGCCCGACGAAGGCAGTCTGCACCGTAGATCACCGTATTCTCAGGGATGACTTCAAACGTGTTCAGGTTGCAGCAAGCCCCAATGATGCAGCCACTTGTCAATATGACGTTTCTGCCCACATATGCTGCAGTAAAAACAAAGAAAGACCTGCAATTTAAGACAAATAAGTAGAACACTAACTTTTTTCTAAAATGACTTAAATATTAAATTGCAAACTACCCTTAAGAAAAACATTTAAGGAAATATTTCAGCTTAGAGTTTATAAAGTAAAGAGGCAGGCGCCTGACTAGTATTAAATGGATTAAAACAGAGCTTTGCAGACTAGTTGTGTGACCTTGGGCAAGTCACTGTAAATTCTCTGAGCAAGTTTATTTATAAGATGGAAAGACTGACCTACTTGCAGTTGGTTTTAAGGAATAAGTGAGATATTAAATGTAAAATGCTGAGCACAGGTTTGACACACAGTAAGTATATAACAAATAGAAAATAACAATGATAATAATTGGTAATCCAAGTTGAAATAATAAACCATTAGGTAGATTAACAAAAAGTCTTATAAGTAGCTTCCCTTTGTTCCTGACTGGCTGGGGTAAAGAACTTCTGCAATTAAAGAAAGCAAACTGCTATAGAAAATGATTTTTCCTTTAATTTTGCAATTATATTAATCAACTAAGTTATCACTGACATTAGTATTTAGTAGAAATCTTTTTCAAATCTTTCATCTGAAAATTATGGTTTAATTCAATCCTGATTTCAATGTACACAGCTGATTTTTTTTTTTTAAGGGAGGGAGGGAGGGAGGGAGGGGCAGAGGGAAAGGGTAAAAAGAATCTTAAGCAGGCTCTACGCCCAGCCAGGAGCCTGACATGGGGCTCAATTTCACAACTCTGAGATCATAATCTGAGCCAAAATCAAGAGTCAAATGCTTAACCAACTGAGCCCCCCAGGCAGATCCATGGCTGAATTTTTAATTCAATATATTAAACATATTATTAAGTTCCTTAAAGGCAAATAATTAGTCTCGTAACATTTAGTCCACTTTCAACCATACCCTCCTTCCACATTGGTTGTTTTTTCAGGACACAATAAAGAGAAAAGAGATAATCACTATTCACAAAAAAATTCCAAATATAGCTTACCTTTTGATTCAATAACATTATTATCTCCCATTTTCATGGCTTGAGAATCTGTAAGCCAGAGTTAAGTAAACACTGTAAATGTGTTCATCTTTTTTCCCCTCCACTAATTCACTATATCCTTTTTTTCTTTTTAAAGACTTTATTTGTTACAGAGAGCGAGCACAAGCAGGGGGAGGAGCAGACAGGGGGAGAGGAAGGCTCCTGATGAGCAAGGACTGATGCCATACTCAATCCTAGGACACTGGGATCATGACCTGAGCTGAAGGCAGACACTTACCCCACTGAGCCACCCAGGTGTCCCTAATTCACTATATCCTTATCCTGCACCATGGCAGAGGACAAAGGCATGGGAAGGGCCATGCAGCCCCAGTCTGGCCAGAACTTCTTGCTCAGAGAAGCCTGAGAGTAAAGTTTTAATCTTTAACAAGTATCTCTAAGCAGATGCAGTCGCCTTCTATATTTTTTAAAGAAATGAGCATCTTTTATCCCAATTCTATGAGTAACATATTTTCATGACTGTTTTAAGAAAATTAAAATTACTTATCACCAAATCACTTAATGCTAACACTGCTAACAGTTTGATATATCATTATATAAATACATACAATTCCCTTTATATAACTGGGAATCAAACGGTATAAAATCAAACTGTATAAACTCTCACAGCTCACTTATTTGGTTCAATTAAATTTGTAAGCAAGCATTATTCCATACCATTAAAATCTTTAAAAACATAGTTTAAAATGACTGCTTAATGGTCCTGATCGTCCATTTTATGCATATAGCTTAATTTATTTAAATATTTTGCTATTGTTAAACATTTAGATTTTTTTCATCCAAGTTTTCCTATCATAAAATAATGTTTTGCTGATACCATGAAAACATTTTACTATCTTTTTAGAGGACAAAAATCAAGCACAAGAACTGATAGCACTCTGGGGGAAAAAAAACAAAGAATGAAATATTTCCATCCCCATCCACCATTTCTTTACATCAGACAGCATACTGCTAACCAAAACCATACAGGAACCAAATGGACAGTGCTGTGGTTCTTAAATCAGGCTAGCAGCCAGGATTCCTATTTCTGTGTCTACTGCCACTCAGTCAGTGCTACCCATCAACAAGTTGTAGTAACAGGAGCAAGATGGTACCTGAAGATATGTATGTATGTGAGTGAACTCACACTTATAATATATGTGATATATTTGATAGCTAAAACATGACAATTTCTATGGGACAGACCTGAATGCTAAAGATAGGTGGGAAGAAGAGTTTACTTAAATTATTATAAAGGATACAACAGCCAACTTCAAACACATTACTGGTGCCAATGATCATAGGTTTCGGTTCTGGATCTTCAGCATCAGGAGTGATGTTATCAGGGTAACTATAAAAAGAAGAGACAAATCATCAAAATCAATAATGCAATAAGCAATTCTCTTGTTTTAGAATTCGGGTTCACTCTTTCAATTTTACCTCCATCAAGCTTAAAATATATAACTACATAAGTAATTTTTTAATCCAAGTGAATTATTTATCCTCTGTGCTGAAGAACTGATTCTGAACTGAAAAAGAACTACTGAAATGTAAAGAAGCCAAAAGCAGATACCTAAAGACATCAAAGTAAAGCTTAACGCGCAGAGGGCCTTTTCCAGGACAAGGTAAAAATGTTGCTGGCTATCATTTTTAGCTTGTTAAATTAGAATCAAAATTGGGCCTGAGTCGGAAAATTTCCATTCTTAATAATCATTCAAGATTGTGAAATGCAAACAGATATTCACATCAAATAATTATTTTATGCTGTTAGGTAGTTTGAAATATTTGGAACATTAAATGTTTGTGGTCTAAGAGGAAGCCATTTTTTAAATGGAGCTTTATCTCTGACAGTGAGTTACTACAGAATATAGCTGTTGTCAACTGACTTACAGTAAAGGTGCCAAAATAGATTTTAAAAAGAAACTCTTAATATAGTAGAAACTCCCAAATTCTAAGTAAGTGTTAAGACAAATCAATCTCTTTATCACAGTTAAATATTTTCCCAAGGTCTTTCTTAAAAATTCCATACATTTGTTGCTATAAATCAGGTATAAGCTTGAATTTCCTGCCAAAATTTTATCTAGAAAGCTTTACAAATGCTTATGAAAACTTCATAGGTATTACAGTCTAGTTCACTAAGATTATGCACATGTTTAATATTTTATTATTTCTTTACTCTTCAAAGTTAAAAATTGCCTCTAGAACCCTCCAAATTTTCAAATATAATTCTGGGTGCTACCCCACATAAGGTTTATGAAAATATACAACAGAATTAAGTTCATGTGTCTGGGCATGAGTAATAACATTCCGGCCAGAACTGAGAAATCATCCAATCAAAAGACTCTTTTTGGGGTGGTCAGCACAGCACTTGATCGCAAGAGTCAGGAAATGTTTGCTTAACTCACAGAAGAGGTAGTGACATGTAAGGGAAGGCCATCAGACACAGAGGAGGGGATTCTAGTCAGCTACGGAGGAGTTCTCTCACCTTGGACAAGTCTCTTCACCTATCTGGTCTCTGGTTTCCTCATTAACTAATTTCTCCTGTTGAAAAGATCCTTAATGTTTCTCTAGTTCTAAAATAGCAGGCTTTTCAGATGTCTGTTGTAAAAGGTTCCTATAGATAAGCTGAAATTAATAAAAACACAATCTGTGCCCCTTCGTTCAGAGTATCTGTAAGAGTCGTACTCACGCATTTATGATAAGCGCCTGTTCCTCTATGAGGTTACCTTCACCGATCACGATGGGCCCGGCTTCGGCAATAATGCGTGCTTTAGGGTGGATCACCGTCCTAGGTCCTGTTAAAAATATGATGAAACGGAATTATTGGTGGAGGCTACGCTTCCAATAGGAGGGGAGAAGATGGGGGGCTGTCAAGGCTATGGGGAGACACATTTTCAAAAGTATGTGGCAGGCACACTAGGCACATTACAGACGTTATCTCCTCACTGTTATCAACAGTAGTCGGAGCCAGATCTCAAGCCAAGGTGAGTGGAGACAGCCCAGGCTCTGGAGCCAGACAGCCCTGGCTCAGCGGCTGTTTGGAAGCCTCTGTTATCTCAGCAGTGAAATGGGGGTGGTGAGAATACCAGTCTCGCAGAGTGGTTGTAAGGATTAGATGAGATAATGTTTGTAGACATGGTATTCTGGCACATTGTTGGCAATAAAAATTAATTCCCTTCCTTGTTTTGCTTTCCTTCATGAAAATGAGGCTGTCTGCTTACAACGCTGCGGCTTTCTCATGCCAGTGAACCACAAAGCACTTTCTTATTCTAGCGTACTGCAGAGTTCGTCTCTTTATTATGTGGCTAAAAGGCAATATAGGAGCAATGGGAGACAGGAAATATGTAAACTAATGTTGTCTTCATTACTTTGTCTCTGTCCCTATAGCAAGCCTAACCCCTGGAAGGAGGCAGAGCTTTTGTTGAAAAAGGTTACAGGGAGACAGTGGAAGGAGACAAATGTGATTATTGGAGTCCTAAAACTCTGAGATAGGCCAACTGAGGCAACGTCTCCCATCTCAAATTGAAGGGAGCAAGATGGGGTCTCACCACACCCATTTCACCATTAGGGTGGAGGAGGCATTGCACTGCTCAAACAGGGACAGCATTCTGGAGTGCTAACACGTTCCCTCCCCTGGTTCCTAATTTCCTGAAGGCCTAGCGTTTGGTGATCATGAAACCACTCAGGAGAAAATAGTATCTCACTTTCGCCACTCCCTGCAGCACCGGCCCCGCCCACCCCCGAGGCCAAAGGCTATTTCTACTGGTAAACAAGCAGCTGGGATCCGACTCTGAAAGTAAGAGAGTGTGGGCAGAAGCGTTGACAGAAGGTGGGAGGCAGTCAGGAAGAGGACACTGTTCATGTAGCTCGGTATTGGATTGTGTAAATTAATTTATTCTGTAGTTATTACCTGCTGGTGATGCAGTGCTACAGGTCACAAGGAAACAAAAAGGAATACATGCTACTTTTGCCCTCTGGAGCTTGCGTATCTTGTTTTGTTTATCTTGAAAACTGGAAATACTTAACACACTCACACACAAATGTATTAAAATAAATGAGGCGTTCCTGGTGCCTAGAGAACTGGAAGGAACCTTCATGCAGCTTTCTTTTTCCCCTAACAATGCTGGGGACTGATAAAGGAGGGTGGGGCCCGAGACAGGATGCACCAGCAAAGGACCCACAGTCTGATAAGGAGCAACAGGAGAGAGGCTTTGCTATTTCTGTCACCTCTCACTCCCCAAGTCCTCAGATGCCAAAGTAAATTTCCCTGGCAACTTCTCCTATTCACGACAGAAGATGGGATTTCTCAGATCTCTGGGAAGGTTCTCAAGTGGACATGTGTGCCTTTTTTTTTCTTTGTTAAAAAAATACACACATTTATAAAAGTATTATGTGCCCATTATAAAAACTCAAAGCAAGGGGCGCCTGGGTGGCTCAGTGGGTTAAAGCCTCTGCCTTAGGCTCAGGTCATGATCCCAGGGTTCTGGGCTCTCTGCTCAGCGGGAAGCCTGCTTCCTCCTCCTCTCTCTCTGCCTGCCTCTCTGCCTCCTTGTGATCTCTGTCTGCCAAATAAATAAATAAAATCTTTAAAAAAAAAAAAAACTCAAAGCAAAAACTGAAAGATCCTCTCTTTATGCAACCCTATTCCCTAGAGGTAACTATTCTTAAAAGTTTGGGGTATATTATTCCAGACTTAAGTTCTACTATATACTTAAGACCTGTAAATGTCACTGTATATAAAATATATTTTATCATAAAGTTAAAGAATAAATAGAATTTGAAGGTAGAAAAATACGGACTATAGGCGCACGGTTTGTTTGTTTTTAAATCAAGGAACAGTGCTTATTATTCTACAATTTGCTTTATTCACCCGAAAAGTCATGATGATTTTCCCATATAAGTACATTTAGCTAGCTATTCTTTTCAGTGGCTGAATAGTATTTCATATCATATTAACATACCATAATTTATTTAACCAAGCCCTTAATGATGGGCATTCAGATGTTAACACTTTTGGGAGAGAGGTGCTAAAAACAAAACTAAACTACTAAATTACTAAACTAAACTACTAAACTACTAAAACAAACACTGCTACTAAAACAAACACTGGATTCTTTTGAAATGAGAAATTTCTTACAGGTCTTCCAGCTGTGTGAACCAATTTGAATCTATAGTTTGCACAATACCAGATTTGCATTTTACTTTAAAATGCTCTGTGATGGGGGTGCCTGGGTGGCTCAGTCGGTTAAGCATCTGCCTTCGTCTCAGGTCACGAATCCAGGGTCCTGGGATGGAACCCCACATCAGGCTCCCTGCTCCCAGGGGAGCCTGCTCTTCTCCCTCCCTCCTGCCCCTCCCCCAGTGGTGCTCTCTCTCACTCTGCTTTCTCTCTCTCAAATAAATAAATAAAATCTTAAAAATAAAACAAAATAAAATGTTCTTTGATAAAAGGTACAAATCATTCAATTTTAGGTTCTTTGTCATTAGAGCCCTGCCAGCACCCCACCCCTCATCTGGAAGGTCCTGACCCTGGTCTCTACCACGGAAAGGCTGTGTGCTTCATCTCTCAAATGCCTGTTCTCTCCCCCAGAAAAAGATGAGATCTGGAGCAACCTACTTCAACGTGTTGAAGTGTGGGTTATACGAAATAATGTCTGAAAGGCAGATCACAGGGTCTGGTCCGTAATTGTTAAAAATGGGAGGTTCATCACTATCTGACACCAAAGGCTATTTGTGTAACTATCATAATAAGTACAACAACTCCTTCTGGTCTGAGAGACAAAAAAGGGGTCCACTTTACTCCTCTACTCAGGTTACCAGGGTAGTAACTCCTTTTAATCAGCATGGAGAAATTTATATATTACTGTAAAATAGTAAAAGAAATTAAAAAAGTATTTTCCATACTAGCATTAGAATCTCTGGGAAGAGATCATCACGCTGTGATAGAAAGCAGATCGGCTGCCACTGCTGGACAAGAAGCCGGCTGCACTAGCTATTCTGCTGGTCCTCAAGCTGTAGCTTTTGACAGCAAGTCCACCTGCGAGAAGCTACCTGAGAATGGACTAGTATGACAAGGTTATTACTGAAACCTGCCTTTCTTTAAAAGTTCCTCTAAAGTGTAGCTCTGAAAACAAGTGATATTTCCATTTTTCCCTTTCAAAAATGATATAATACATGTTAATTATACAAACACAAATTTTAAAAAATGAAATTTGAAAAAAACAAAGACATGATCTCCATGTCTCATACAATTTTTAAATATAACGCCTGAGCTATTTTAACCAGGCATTTTATATTGTTATTACCATTTTTATCATTATCAATAAGTTAGCTAGAAGAAAACTGGAAAACTCCTGGTTAGAAATCTGAAGGCCCTGAGATATGAAGCAACATCACCAGCTTGGGTGAGATCTGCACTTAAGACAGCACCTCCCCCTGGTGGCAGTACCGCCAAACTACAAGTCCTCATATTTGGGGCGGAAAGAACGTAAAAGGGCAAAACGTAAACTTTGAATTGTGAAGTAACAGCAAAAGTCATGGGTGATAATAAACTGAACAGCTCCCCTAAACCTGTCCTAGGTCTTCTGGGGTAGAGACTAGAGAGGTTAGTACACATGTCCTTTGGCACATGACTGCTAAGATTTTGGTTTGGAAGGCTGGCCAAAGGGCCATTCGGGGTCAGGTGTGCGGTCCACACTGTGGACTCCGTCTCTGCACAGTTTGGGGCTGGTGGCTGGCACCAGAGAGCCCGGACATCCAAGTGCTATTCCAAGTCCCGGGCAGCCGTAGCTGACTAAAATGTGAGCACAGACTGTTCTACACTCTACCACATGCGAGAAGCACTTTTACCTAGAATGGGTCTGATTGCAAACCAAGTTTAAGAGTCTTGAGGTTAAAATGCTTTAAAAATAAAATCTGTCACCATGGAAAGATTTTTTTTTTTAAAGGTTGTTGTGAACTTCTTGGAGCTCTCACTGGCAGGGTAGTTTGTATATTTTCTTACCAAATGCGCTGAAACCCTATTTGGCTTATCTCCTTGTTTGGATAAATGTGTCTAGAGTTGGAGTTGCCTTGCCGGCTGATGAATTATTTTTCTAAATGGTTGGCTGGGCTTGATGCAACACAGCCAGAAAGGCATTCCTCGCATCAAATTTCCATTCCGCTCATTTGGTAAAGGGCATTTTTCCTGTCTGTCTTCGCCACAGAAAGCAATCTCTGTGCACATTTTCATATGTCAATAAACAGTTCAAAAAGCCACAAGCTTTTTCCTTTGAAAATTAAAACAATTCTTTTGACCTGTAAGCTGAAGTACCTGTAAGCACTGCTTTATATTTGATGAAGTTTAAATCAAAGCCACTGTTCTGCCTTATTGAAAAAGATTTCCATGGTAAAGGGAAGCTTTTGATCTGTATTAAAAACCCTAATGGACAGAAAGACAGAGTAAGTGGGACATAGGGCTTCCATCTCAGCGTTTCACACTGTGTGGAGTTCTGCCTTCCTACTTGTAATGTCCCAACCAAGCCCCGTCCTAAGACCAGGAGACTGACGTTCACCCCATGGTGGGACTACAGACTGTGCTTAGAAGTGACTTTCTGCAATGTTTTTCAGCTTTCAAAGCAAAATTTAAGGAAATAATGCGTGGCCCAAAATCCAAGGCAGCCTAATTACAAACAGGCTTGATACTATGAAACCTTGTTTACCTACACTGTAATTAACAAGAGAGCTGTTATTTTTCCCAAGGTCTGTTTCCCAGTAGCCTCTAATGAAAGGGGTCAGGTTCCAGCAGAGCCTCAAGTCACAGAATTTCTGCTTAAGGACAATACTCCAAAGCTTCAGACTAGTTTCTTTGATAAACCAAACACCTGATTTTTCTAGAATAGAAGATCAGGTTTCACTGAAACACAGAGAAGGAAAAAATTACTTTCGAAATATTTCAGAATGGAATAATCTGGTAGGAGTATAACCAACTAGGAGACAGAAAGTTATGCATAACATCCTGTGAAAAATCCATTAATTCAATTACACTTAAGTTTATTGCTACTTAACCCAGAAAATAGAGCTTATTAAATGTTCAAATCTCCCTATCCACAGCATAAGAGAAAAAGACTTTATTCTGGTATATTAGGCAAAAGCAATAAATAAATGAATGAATGAATGAATGAATGAATGAGTAAATAAATAAATAAATGCCATAAATCAGAAAACAAACAAACAAACCATGGTGGAGAGAGTAAGTTTAAATTAAATAACTTATCTCTACTCTCCCAGTTGATTTAACTTCGTATCTCCTAGGAGCTTTTTAATCTGATGTATTACATCAGAAAAATGAATTAATAACAGTCAAAAGGTTTTACATTTACATTTATCTGGGGAGGGAGAGGGAAGAGGGAAAGGGAGAGTGAGCACCTTAAGCAGTCTCCATGCCCAGGGCACCCAACATAGAGCCCAGTGCAGGACTGGGTCTCACAACCCTGAGATCATAACCTGAGTCGCAATCAGGAGTCGGACATTTAATTATCTGAGCCACCCAGGCACCGTGATTAGAGATATCTTATACCAAATATAACAATGATGGAGGGTGCCTGGGTGGCTCAGCTGATTAAACATCTGCCTTGAGCTCGGGTCATGATTCTAGGGTCCTGGGATCAAGCCCCACATCGGGCTCCCGCTCAGCAGAGTCTGCTAACCACTCTCCCTCTACCCCTCTCCCCAACTCATTCTCTCTCTCTTAAATAAGTAAAAAAAAAAAATCCTTAAAAAAAAAACAATGATAGGGATGCCTGGGTGGCTCAGTTGGTTAACCCGCTGCCTTCCACTCAGGTCACGATCCCGGGGTCCTGGGATTGAGTCCCACATCAGGCTCCTTCCTCATTGGGGAGCCTGCTTCTCTCTCTGCCTCTGCCTGCCACTCTGCCTGCTTGTGCTCTCTCTCTCTCTCTGACAAATAAATAAATAAATAAAATCTTTTTTAAAAATGATAGAAATGGCTCTCTAAATACCGATTCTAGAAAGTTTCCATACTTATATATACAATCAAAGATGAGAAACACAAAACAAAAAAACAAAAACAAAAAGGTAAGAAACAAAATGAAAATGAAGAATTGTAAAAGACTAAACAATGGGTAACTATATCCCTTCTGAATATTTTCCTTAATTTAAAAAACTGAGATATTTCTGTAAAGTATTTTAGCAAATTTTCTTGTTTAAAAAAACTGGGTCAAAAATAAGCATAACAAATACTAACTTAGATTCATTCTATGACAAGCTTCAAATCACTAGTTAAAAAATTATGACCAATTCTTACACTATTAATCTATCACTGAAAATCTGTATTGAACTGTCATTTTATATCTTAACCACAGAGCTGTGTACTATCAGCTAGAGGAAAAACCTATATGGAAAGTAGATTTAAACACTGTATTTCCTGGGGTGGCTCAGTGGGTTGAAGCCTCTGCCTTCGGCTCATGTCATGATTCCACGGCCCTGGGATCGAGTCCTGCATCGGGCTCTCAGCTCAACAGGGAGCCTGCTTCCCTTCCTCTCTGCCTGCCTAATCGTGATCTCTCTGTCAAATAAATAAATAAATAAATAAATAAATAAATAAATAAATAAAAAATAAACACTGTATTTCCTTACATAATTTCAACATTAGGGACGGTTGGTTGACATAAGGATAAAGAAAAGAGAGGAGCGTAAAGTAGTAAAAGACAACAGGAGAAACAAGAAAGCGAGTTGACTCCTGGTAACCCTCATGTTCTAATCCCATGCAGTAGCCAGTGGCCCACCCTTCCTTTTCACAGGAGAAAGGTTTTCCTGCTATTCTACATAAGCTTCTACAAGTAACAGGTGTTTTTTTCCAAGTCAGAAACACACACACACACATATATATATACACCTTGTACGCTGAGCCAGCAGGGGCGTCGATGCCATCTTTGCATCTGTTCCATAGTGGTATAGTATACTTAGTTTAGAATGGGGAAGAAGGAGAAATGAAAGGAAAAATGTGTGTTATTAGCTACATTATTTTAGTCTTACTTTCATTCTAATTATAGAATACCTTGTGAGCTAATGAGAGGGTTTTTTCTCAAATCACGATGAAAACCATAAGAATACCAGATTAAAAATAGTGCAGAAGAGCACCGATAAACAAGTGGCCATCATGATTTCTCCTCATAAAAAGTTTGCAAGTGGTTTGGGAATTCACAAAGAGTTAACATAGCACTGAACAGAAACTGGGTAATCTTCTAAACTCTGAAGTTCTGTCAACTTAAAATAATTACATAAATCCAACCTGGCAAATTCCCAGTGATGTTCCATAATCCCAGCACAATCGTCACGTGTTCTCTAAGACATGATGCCTAAATTGGTCAGAGGCTTAGACCTAATAAAATTCGTGTTTTTTTTTTTTTCCTATTAAAGATCCTGTTGGTGTAAGGAAGCAGGGCATGTTTTCTCTCTGAAAGCTCTACTCTGGTAACGAGCAGCTGCTAGTAAGGACGGACTCACGTTTGTAAAGCTCCAAGGGCATGACAGGCCGTGACAACATATGTAAAAGAGTAAGTGGCTAAAATGTAAGTTTGGGAGAACTTAATCATGCCCATATAAGCAAGATGCCACCTGTTAAACTGTTCACTTGATTTCAGTGTTGGATCTCACCTCTAGCAAGGCTACACAATGTTAAGATTAAATGGTGCGATTAGCTAGAGTTAGGATTTGGGCAATGACTTTCACAAACATTCTCTTATTGAATCCTTCAAAAACCTATGAGGTAGGCACTCCTATTTTGCATGTCACAAAAACTGCTAATTGCCACTAGATATCCATGCTTTCCTCTTCCCTGGTAACAGAACCCTACTGGACTGGGAGAAGCAAAGCACAGTTCAGACTATGATCTCCCAGCCTTCCCTGCAGCTACACGTGTCCATGACACTAAATCCAAGGCAGAGACTGTATATACAAAGAGAGACGGTGTGGAACTTTCAGGAAGACTATTTAAAGGAAGCTGACTCAACTGGGAGGTACACCTTTTTGTCTCCACTCCTCCCTTTTCTTATCCAAGATCACTCTTGGTGCTTTAGGATCGCATCCTGGCCTACAAGGCCAGAGCCCCTGGACAACCAACTAAGTAGTCCTGAATTGCCCACCTCTGTATTTCTTTATATAAAAGAATAAATCTCTGCATAGATAAAGCCACCACTATATGCAGCTGAACCTAATTCTAAAACACACAATTACACGCGGATAGGGAAAATGAAGGTCAGTGAGGATAGGGAAAATGAAGGTCTACTAAAGTAAACTGGCAGGTAAAGAGCAAGGACGCCAACCCAGGTCTGTCAGACTCCATGGTCCACACTCATTAACAGTAGCATGTAAGCTCCACAAAGCAGTACCTTGTCTGCTGTGTTCACTCCTGTGTCCCTAGTGCTAGCACATGCCTGGCACACAGCAGGTACACATTTGGATGTTTCTCAAATAAATCAGTGACTTCATTATATTGCCTCATTAGTTTATCAGACAGAAACATAAACATAGAGTCCATCAGAGGGCCTGGCTGGCTCACTGGGCGGAGCACGCGACTCAATCTCAGGGTTCTGAGTTTGAGCTCCATGTTGGGTGTAGAAATTACCTAAAAACAGAATCTTAAAAAAGTTTCCATCAGACCTAATTCTATTAGAAATATTTAATATACACAGGAAAAATACATTATTTTGTCAATAAAATTAGGACATCAGTGAAACAGACAAAATATAAAACCTAATTAACTGTAAAGCACTGAAATAAATTAAATTACATCCATTTTTTAGAAATAATTAAAAAACTATTTAACTAAATAACTAATAAACTATTTTCTTACCTATGGTTACATCACCCCGAATTTCACTTTCTACACACACAACTGCTCCAGGAGCAATCTTCACACTGTAGAAAGAAAAAGGTAATATTCACCATGGGTACATTTTAAAAATATTGTTATAGAAGTTATTTTAACACTGCAGTGAGAAAAAGGTTTAAAAAATGGATTTAAAAAACTGTAAGAGAATAGGGTATTTAATATATTATAAAATTCTCAGGAGGCATACAATCCATTGGCTAAAATCACTAATGATACCTTATTAAAATGCTTGAGGGAGTGCCTTGGTGGCTCAGTTAAGTGACTGACTCTTGGTTTCTGCTCAGGCCATAATCTCAGGGTCACGGGATTGAGTCCTTTATCAGGCTTTGTGCTCACTGGGGAGTCTGCTTGAAATTCTCTCTCTCCCTCTGCCCCCACTCCCTGTGCTCACTCACTTTCTCTAAAATAAATAAATCTTTTAAAAAATGATAAAAATAAAACGCCCAAGAAAAGAGGCTTTGGATTCTTTTAACACCAGCACTGTTTCCAAATAGGATAAAACTGAATACACCTAACTATCCATTAGTAAGGGACTGATTAATACTAATAACTATGGTACACCACAGTTTATTACACAGTCAAAAAAAAGAAAGAATAATATTTTATGTAAAGATTTGGAACGAGTTCCAAGCTATATTAAGTCAAAAAAGATCAAAGCCAGAAAATGGAGAGTATATCATACACCATAAATTTTGTAAAAGAATGTACATTCAAAATATTTAACAACCAGCAAGGTAATATTAATATAGAAATCAATGCAGAGATTTAAAATTTACAAAGATTCCTATTTATTCTCTAACTATATATGTTGTAAAACTGCTGAGTGATATAAATTGGAATGCAAATTGTCCCCATATTATTAATGTACAAATAATTTACTGATGCTTTTTGATATTCTGTGACGTCCTGTTTAACACAGCTCAATCTAGCTAAATGCTGCCTTGGCTGGGCATGAGCAGACATGCAGAACTGTACCAAATGACTCCCCCCGCCCTTAAACTGATAATCATTTGGTAACTTGTTCTTATTAAGTATTTTCCTTAGTAATAATGAAATTATTCATGGTGTTAAATATGCACTCAGCTTCTCTAAAATAGTAGCAATACCATGTTAGCTAATTTTACTTTATAATCCTATTTGGATTTTTCAAAATTTTGATTTCTAGTTGTTCACTGCAAGTAAATAGGAACACAATAATTTTGGGGGCGCCTGAGTGGCTCAGTAGGTTAAGTGTTAGATTCTTGATTTCAGCTCAGGTCTTGATCTCAGGATCGTGAATTCAAACTCTTCATTAGACTCCATGCTAGGTGTGGAGCCTACTTTAAAAAAAAAAAAAGAAGAAAATGAGATAAAGAAATATAATTTTGTATATTGACTTTGTTTCCTAAAACCTTGCTAAACCCACTCAGTTCACATAGATTCTCTGGGATTTCTCACAAAAAGAATTTTGTTGTCTGTGAATGGGACAGTTTTACTTCTCTTCCAGTCTACATGCATATTATTTCTTTTTCTTGCCTTATTGCCCTGGTTAAGACTTTCAGTATGATGTTTAATATCCTTAACCTGTTCTGGCTCCGTAAGACCAACAAAACCTATCAAACTATCTTTCTAAGCCATGAATGATGCGTTTTATTTTTATTTTATTTTATTTATTTATTTAACAGAGTGAGCACAAGCAGGCAAAGAAGCAGGCAGAGGGAGAAGCAGGCTCCCTACTAAGTAAGGAGCCTGACATGGGGTTTGATCCTAGGACCCTGGGATCATGACCTGAGCTGAAGGCAGTCACTTAACCCAGTGGTTGATGGTGAGCCACCCAGGTGCCCCGAATGATGCATTTTAAATAAATTAATAAAACCTGGTATGTAAAACAGTTGAAATTTTCTTGACCAAAATGTTAATGCTTTGGTTTATAAATTTTCTAAAAACTTGTTTTCTTATTTTAGCAAATATGTTTTTCAAGCAGTAAGAACCATAAATGTAGAGTATAATGATTCACTCATATCAATATTATTTTTTAAGTTCTATAAATATTCATGTATGAAAATATTTGCTTATTTTTAACTTACAGTAGATAGTATAAAAATGCTAATGGTACTTTCTACTTGTTTTTCATGTCTTTTTTTTTTGGACATTTCTTTGGTTAAAAAAATTGTTATTGCCAGATTTTCTTTTTTTCCAAATGTTTTACTGTGAGGCAGGTTCATGCTTTCGTATTTGTCCTCCTTGATTAACGTAAATTTTCATTATATGAAACATGAACTTAAACAGGACATGCTTGCCATTCTAACAAAATATTTAAAGTAATTAGCACATTAAATTTCTCTAACTTTTGAGCATCATTTACAACTGATGCAACCAATACAGCCGCACCAGTGTGTACCTGCTGAATATTCGTATTTGCTTGAATATTTCCAAACCAACTCCAGAGGAACAGACAAGGTACTAATAATCTTTACCACCTTCAGAGAGAGGAGCTGGATAGCAGGGACACAATGGCATACAGACACTTTTTCATTAGATGCTCATTTTTTAACTGCTTGTATTTTGAAACCCACAAATGCACTGCTTATTCAATATGTAAATAAAACAAAACAAAAAAGAGCATGATAAAATTTTCTTAACACCAGGTGCTAAGTGGGTACTGGATTCATTTCCATAATCAGGGTGATTATTTATTTATCCCTATTTCCTTAAAAAATCTCCCTCAAATTATGATCCCTATATGCCCTCCCCCACTTAAACTTTATTTTACCTAAAAATACTTTGTTGTAACTCTTAAGTATCATTTAATTAATTTTAGACTTCTCAGTTTCCCTTTAAGATTTTTTTTTAAGATTTATTTATTTATTTATTTGAGAGAGAAAGAGAGAGCACCAGGAGGAGGAACAGAGGGAGAGAAAATCTCAAGCAGACTCTGCCCTTAAGCCAGATAGATGCAGGGCTTGATCTCAAAACCCTGGAATCATGACCTCAACCAAAACCAAGAGTCCAGTGCCACCCAGGTGCCCCAAGACCAGTTTTTTTGTTCTTTAAATCACTGTTCCTATTGCTTCAACAACAATCTTTTTTAACCAAGGATAAAATTATTATTCATTAGTATCCCTTCTCCTTACTTCCAACCTTCAAATAAATACCCAGCTATCACATATATAACCTTATTATGTCATATTCAATGACATTGGTTATAGTATTTCTAGATCATTGTCTATACCTGTTCTGTGTCATATTACATTCAGGATGCTTGATACATGACACAAGTCAATGTAAGTAAGAAACAAAAGGTTGTGTTATGAAATAAATATGAATACTTAGAATAGTCATATAATCATATTCTGGTCCATTTCTTGTATTAGTTTGTTCAGGGTAATGAGGAGTTTTTGCTTTTATTTATGATGGTAATCAAATGATGATGCACCTATAATTTAACTAAGACACTTGAACACCTTTGTTGACAATTATTAGGACACTTCCTGGAAAATACTGTATCAATATGCAACAGGAATCATCAACACAGTCACAATGCTTGACCTCAGAAATCTATTTCTGGAGTTCTCTCATCAAGAATTCAATAGGAGGAATATATATATGCAAAAATTGGCAATGTTGTTTAGAATAATGAAATCGTAAAAGGGGAGGAGTAATGAAATAAAATATAATCATCACCTAACTGGAACACTATATATTCCGTAACAATTAAAAGACAAAACAAGATAAAACTACTTTTTTTTCTGTCCTCTTTTTTTTTTTTTGAAAGATTTTATTTATTTATTTGACAGAAACACAGCGAGAGAGGGAACACAAGCAGGGGGAGTGGGAGAGGGAGAAGCAGGCTTCCCACCAAGCAGGGAGCCAATGAGGGGCTTCATCCCAGGACCCCGGGATCATGACCCCAGCCGAAGGCAGACGCTTAATGACTGAGCCACCCAGGCTCCCCAAAACTACTTTTTTTTTTTTTTTTTTAAGATTTTATTTATTTATTTGGCAGGCAGAGAGAGAGGAGGACCAGGCTCCCTGCTGAGCTGAGAGCCCGGTGTGGGGCTCGATCACAGGACCCTGAGATCATCACCTGAGCTGAAGGCAGAGGCTTTAACCCACTGAGCCACCTAGGCGCTCCCCACCTTCCAGTTGTTTAGTTCTCATTCTCAATAATGGACGGAGAGCCAGAGATTATCAGATAAATCAGGAAAGCCTCCAACTAAAAAGGAAAAAAAGCAAAACAAAGAGGAAAAAGAACAGTTTGAGAAAACACAGACAATTCAGGTACTAAAAGAAAACTTAAAAAAAAAAACACCTTATAATTCAGAGAAATAAGAGACATTACTGCGTAAAACAAGACAGAAGTCTATGAAAAAGGAACAATGTCTAAGAAAGAGCTCCAAGGGGCGCCTGGGTGGCTCAGTGGGTTAAGCTTCTGCCTTTGGCTCAGGTCATGATCTCGGGGTCCTGGAATTGAGTCCTGCATTGGGCTCTCTGCTCAGCGGGGAGCCTGCTTCCCCTTCCCCCTCTGCCTGCCTCTCTGCCTACTTGTGATCTCTCTCTCTCTGTCAAATAAATAAATAAAATATTTTTTAAAAATTAATAAAAGAAGAAAGAGCTCCAAGAGATTAAAAACATGATCGAAATTTGAAATCACTAGGAGTGAGGTTAAAAAAAAGAGCTCTTCCAGAAAGCAGAACAAAATGGGGAGGAGGAGGGGAAGGAGAGAAAAATGAGAAAAGAGAATCCAAATAAAAGAAACCTCAAGGGGTGCCTGGGTGGCGCAGTTGGTTCAGTGTCCAACTCCTGGGTCAGCTTAGGTCATGATCTCATGGGTCCTGGGATAGAGTCCCACATTGCACTGGGCTCCAGCTCAGCAGAGTCTGCTTCTCTCTCTCTCCCTCTGCCCCCCACCCCCACTGTGCTGTCTCTCTCTTTCTAAGGAAAAGAAAAAAAAAAAAAAAAAAAAAAAAAAAGAAATCTCGAAAGGAGAAAAGAATTTGTAGAAAAAACTATTTAAAGAATAATATAAGAAAATTTCCCATTACTAAAGGATATTAATCTCAACTCTAAAAGGATACGAATGCAAAGGACCCATACCAAGTAACATCCTCTTCAAATTTCTGAATGCCATGCTAAAGATCCTTATAGTTTGCAGAACAAAAAAACCAAAACCAAAACCAAAACCAAAGTCACACAGAGGGATTAAAATAATCAGAATGGCAATACTGGAGGCTAGAAAACCAGAACACAATAGCTACAGAATGCTAAGCAAAAACTATGTTCAAACTAGAGCTACCTATCCAACCAAACTAGCAATCAAGTATGGAAGGAGAATAAGGACATTTTCATACTTACTTTAGTAAGTATTTATACTTGCTTTCATTCATACTTACTTTCATACATACTTACATTCATACTTACTTACTTAAAAAAAAAAAAAAGATCTCTTAAGTACTCTTTATTAGGAAGCTGCCAAAGGATGTACCAAGCTAAATAAAAGCCAACAGACAAGATAGATTCTAGAAACAGAGATCCCAGTGTGTGAGGACAGAGGGAAATTATCAGGACAAAAGTCATGCATCAGCCTCAGAGAACAAAGCTGATAGGTTTCAATGGGGAGATCGTCAAAAAAAAAAAAAAAAAAAAAAAAAAGACGATGACAGATTATGTGATGGTTTACTAGATATCTGGTATATCTGTGAGAAGATTTGAAAATCATCAGTACATAGAAAAGAAAGGATATGAAAATAATGAACTTATTTTGTTAAATTTTAGATTAATTCAGGTTGAGGGTCCATAGAAAATTCAAGAGAAAGACCCAGTAAGAAAGTGAAAACACAGAGCTAGAGAGTTCGAGACCAGAAATAAAGGTCTGAGAGTTAGCAGGGTACAAACGCCTTAACGTATCTCTCCATCATTCACATTCCAGAATCCCCCTAAATATTCGCTAATACAAGTGCAAAGTATCACCAAAAATATTTTTCTTAAATCACACCAACTTCCCTACTGATAGGGAAAGATAAAAAAAGGAGACATACACAATTTTTTCTCCTACCACCAAGTATTTTTAAAACTCTAAAAGAACCAAACCGGGGCGCCTGGGTGGCTCAGTGGGTTAAAGCCTCTGCCTTCGGCTCAGGTCATGATCCCGGGGTCCTGGGATGGAGCCCCGCATCGGGCTCTCTGTTCGGCGGGGAGCCTGCTTCCTCCTCTCTCTGCCTGTCTCTCTGCCTACTTGTGATCTCTGTCAAATAAATAAATAAATAAATCTTTAAAAATAAATAAATAAATAAATAAATAAAAAATAAAAGAACCAAACCCAAACTGATAACCCCTGAGTCTATCTTCAAGAAATATTTGTGAGATCAGACACAGCTACATCTGTTTCCATCATTTTGACATACAGCGACTTTCTACAAAGCACAAGTTAATGAAATTCTAGAAATGATGCATCTGGGTTATGTGTTTACTGAAGTCCCAGAAAAAATATAACCTTTCTACCCAGTGCATGAAAAACTTGAGTACCATGGAACAGAAAGCAGAAATAGCCGAACCCTCTCATTTTATAGATGAGGAGACTGAAGCCGAGATACTAGAAATTTCCCGAAGCAGTTGGTCCCTGAGGCATCATTATCCGAACACCAATCATGTCTTTTCTGTTAGCTGAAAGTTTCCTGGAAACATCCTGACATGTTGGGTATTTTTCCTATGAGAGCAGAATGATGCTGTCTTGAATACATCACCTTTCCTAAGTGCTATTCCTCTGATGCTTTTCATTTAGAGTGGCGGGTGTGTTAAAATAATGCAATTTATTAGGCCCTGGTCAAATAAACCAGGCTTTCTAAAATGCTTCCTGTTTTAGACCTTATTTCCTGGTTTCCATTTCCTCAGCCTCCCTCTCAGTATGATTTTTTAGGAAAAGGGCATTAGCTAACACTTAACTTGTCCTAGACAAGTGAGGAAAGGAGCGATTCCCAAGTGTCCCTCTGTCCAGTCTTATGCCTAAGGGAGAGGACCCAGGTCGAGTTTGTGTCCCGATCAGCATACTTCTGAGGCCTAAAGTAATTAAATTCACGACTAGACCAACTCAAACACAGTCCAAACATCTACGTGTAGACTCCACTGCACTTCAGAGTGATGTGGCGGGGGCGGGGGGGGGGGGCTCAGACGGCTGGGAGGAAAAGGCTTAGCCGAGGACCTACTAAAATAACTGCCTCAAGAGAAGAAAACCCTAAATTTTCATTTATTACTACAGAATCGGTTTTTCTGTTCAAGGAAGAGTCAGTAGAGGGTGCTCAACGCGGCTGCTTTCGGAGTAAGCCCTTCTCCCACCCAGCCCGTCTCTGCCACCACCCGTTTCCAGCAGTGAGGACTGCTGGAGAAGAAGCCCCATCGCTGTCCTCACGCGTTTGCGAAGGAGCTTATCCACGCAGCTCCGGGGCGGGCGCGGCCCCCCTTTGGACGAGCGACGGTGACGCGCTGACACAACACACACCGCCCCCGACTGGGCAGGAGGGGACTGGGGTGTGGCCGGCACTTCCGCGGCCGTCTCGGAATGCTCGGAGGAAGATCCTGTTACAGGCCGCCGACCGTGGGAGGCGCACCAAACGGGGCAGGATTTGGGGGGGCGGGGGCGTCCCTCTATGTCCCGGGGCAGTGGGCGACGACAGGCTCCCCGCACAACGCCTCCGGAGACCCTCTCTGCGCCGGCGCGTTGCGGAGGAGGACGACGGGACCGAAGAACAAAAACCTTCCTGGCACCGATTCCACGTCCCTTCCCCATCCTCCCTGACACCCCCTTCGTCGCCTCCTCCCTCAGCGGCCGCCAGCTCTGGGCTTTAACAACCAGCTCGGCCGAGCTACCGGGAGAAGACACCATCTCAGTCCCTGCCACTGGCGACCAGAAGCAGATTTGCCGCGCCTGCGGAGTGTAGAAATAGGCTTTTTCAAACAGCGGACTCACCTCTTTTGAGTCTTCTCCGCCATGGTTTGGACCCGGTCTCCAGTTGGAGCGGAGATCGACACAACCGCCTGGGTCCAGCGATGATCTCTACAAGCGATTGGAGCGCCTGGCAGGATCGGGCGGGGCGGGGCCTGCTGGGATGGAGGTTTCTCCTCCCCCTGGCTGTGGCGGCTGGTACAAGGCAACACTGCGTGGGCTCTGGCTGATAGCGCTGTCCTGGGATGGACAGACTTGGATTTAAAACAGCGACCTGGTCCAACCCGGCACACATCCTGTCGACCTCATCATAGGCCACCGTTCTTTTTCGGTCTGCTTCTGCTGCTTAAGATTCCGGCCAGGCCCCTGCGCCCTTTTCTCTTGTGTGAGCTCACCTCTTCCTGGGCGATCTCAGCATTCCCATAGGTTAATACCTTCCTACCTGCCGGCTTTCTCGGGTTGATACCTCTAGTTCTGTCCTCTTTGCCGAGCTTCACATCTGGTTACTTCATTGTACTTGGCATCTCCACTTGGATGCCTCAAAGTTCTATCACACCTAAGACGTATAGAACAGAGCTTTTGAATTACGCCCTCAGTTGGTGCTCTGATCTCCATCTCAGTGAAGGGATTCACCATTCACCTAGATGCTCAAGCTAGAAACTCTGTAGGCAGCCTAGGCTTTGCTCACCTCCTGCACAGAATGCATGGGCAAGACCCTGCCACCTCTCTAAACAGCCAGCTCTTCCGGGCAGTCCGCTCCCTCCACCCCCGTCACATCCCCATCCCCACCCTCCAGCCCCCATCCAAGCCATTCTCCTGTAGCCAAAAGTCACTCTGTAAAAACCAATCCAGTTATTTCACTTCCCATTCTTTATAAAATCCAAATTCTTTTCCATCGCCTACTTCCTCCCTCCTTCCGCCTACTGCTTCCTCCCTCTCTCTCTGCCTGCCTCTCTGCCTACTTGTGATCTTTGTCTGTCAAATGAATAAATAAAATCTTTAAAAAAAAATTGCCTATCTCTGCAGATAATTGCTTTATTTTTTTTTAAAGATTTTATTTATTTATTTGACAGGGAGACACAGCAAGAGAGGGAACACAAACAGGAAGAGTGGGAGAGGGAGAAGCAGGCTTCCCACCAAGCAGGGAGCGTGATGCAGGGCTTGATCCCAGGACCTTGGGATCAGAGCCTGAGCCAAAGGCAGATGTTTGATGACTCAGACACCCACATGCCCCTAATTGCTTCTTTACTTACCCACTACAGGATACCCACGGTACCCTGCACCTGTCATTCTTTGATGAAAGTATTCGTTGCCATTTCCATCACCCTCGTAGACTGAGAGCTGCTTGAAGGCAGAGGCCATGTCTTACTCATCTTTATATTCCTGGTGCTTGGCACCAGTCTATCATAAAATGGTAGCCCAATAATGCTATTAAAAGCAATAATTTTTATTGTTCTCCAGCTGTTTTACTTTCAGCTACATTCATCAAGCAGCTTTAGACTCCGTGATTTTACATACTTTATCTAATCATAACGATTCTGTTGAAACAGGCATTATTGTATGTAATTTTTTAAAGATTTTATTTATTTATTTGAGAGAGAGAGAGCACAAGCAAGGGGAGGGCATAGGGAAAGGGAGAAGCAGGCTTCCCACTAAGCAGGGAGCCCGATGTGGGGCTGGATCCCAGGACCCTGGGATCATGACCTGAGCCGAAGGCAGATGCCCAACTGACTGAGGCACCCAGGTGCCCCTTCTATCTAATTTTTTAATCAAGGAGCTCAAGCTCAGTTTCAGAGAGGAGATGGGACTTAGCTCAGAGTCCCCCAGTTAATAAGAGATTCTCTTTTCTTCTTTGCAGAACTCTCTCTCACTAAGAGATGGTCCTTGCCCTTAAGGTGCTTTCGTGTCAGGCTGTACTCTCCTGTCCTTTACTTAAGGCTGCTCACTCTTGCATATGTCTTTGGGGATGGGAAATGGCAGTCAGTCACATCGTTGTAATACTCTGAGCTCAGGATAGGGACTCACCAAAGAGATAGCCTGTTCTTTTCTTGCTTCTAGGCAGTGTCTCTTGTAGTTCTTGTACACACTCCAAAGAAAAGCTTCTCCTTACATGTTCCTCTCAACACTTCACTTCCTTAAGACCTTTTAATGTTTAACCGGTATTTACTGAGTACATAGCATATGTCCAGCACTGTTCTATGTGCGGGGGATTCAGCAATAAACAAAACAAAGTTCCTCCCTTGTAGAGCTCACATTCTGGCAGGGGGCAGACCATAAACTAATTGAGGAATAGATATAGAAGAGGTGGTGATAGGTACTATTAAAAAAAAAAAAAAAGAAATAGCATTAGGAGGACAACGGTGGTTGGGAAGAGGAATCTTCCTGCTCTTTGAGAACCTGTCTCGCTTCCTCATTCTCATGTCCTTTCTTGCTTGCCCTCCCCAGCTGGCCACGTATCTGTCCACAACTGGAAAATGAGATTTTTCATTAACTTAGTGAAGAAAATATGACAGTCAGATGACTGGAAAGGCAAATAGTGCAGTATGTAAACCAAACAAAAGGGGAACTTCTGAAAGCAATGTTTTCCGTACATTCTTAATAGAACACCAAAACGCGTTTTGGTTTCTATAATGCAGTCCCTTTTATCAGAAAGCCGACTTTTATGCTGCTTCTCGCTGGTGATCTGTTTGCTCTTTACTCACCCAGTCCCTTCTGAGCCATATAAAAAGATCCAAGAGAGCCTGGTTGAGGTTTTGCTCACAGGGAGGCACCAGTTAGGGACTCTGGAAAGGACGAGTCTTTGTTCCAGTTTACAATGGATTGGCTTCCGCTGTTCTTTCTCCATCCTGTATCACTTTATCAAGGGGCGGCTTTCCCTTTTGCACTTTTGTTTAATTATCTCTGCATTCTGGATTCTTTTCCCACCCATGCCAGGTAGGTTTAAGTCCTCATTTCATGGAATTTTATCATTTTCAATAAAATTAAATTTTGTTAAATATATAACTGATTCTTTAAATGCCTTTGTATGGTTTCTCAGAGAAATGGAATAAGTCAAAACAAATTATGTTAGATTAGCTATATCTCAATCTAGGTTTCAAAAATTATCATCACTAGAGATTTGACAAGTTGATTGAAATTATTTTAGATCTAGCTAGTACGTTCTATACATGAGAGACAGTCCCTGTTTTTTGTTTGTTTTAAAGGTTTATTTTATTTATTTGAGAGAAAGGGAAATATTGAGCATGGAGAGGGGCAGAGGGAGAAGGAGAGAGAAAAACAAGCAGCTCAGAGTCTGACACAGGGGAGGGTGGGGGTGGGGCTTGATCTCAAAACCCTGAGATCAGACCTGAGCCCAAACCAAGAGTCCAACGCTTAACCAAGTGAGCCACTCAGGGACCCTGACACAGTCCTTGTTTTTAAAGAAGTTTGTGGAATATCCTTTTATAAAATAAAAATCCATTGCTAGAGGGCTACCTCCTAATAATTCACTTATTTTAGAAATTAAGATTTTTTATACATTGAGGATTTTTAATAAAATCCAGCTGTATCTACTAATCAGTTAGACTTTCTAAGTTTGACTAAACTGTGGTATGTTATCAGCTGTTCACAACTGGTGGATGGCCCTTACCTTCATTTAGGAGATGGGGGTCAGGAAGGGGGGCATTGTAAAAAAAAAAGTTTCCTCTTGATAAAGAATCACAAATAATAAGGCAAAGCAAGTGCAAAAACAAAGGTTCATTCCCACAGGGTTAAGGTTGCTGGCTTCGGATGTCTCCGAAGGACCCTGATGGGTCCTGGGTCCCTCCCTCCCTGAGTGTTCTTATGTATGTGAATAAATTCTCTCCAAGTTGATCCATGAAATGGAAATAATAATGCCTATCTCATGGGGTTATTTTAAGGATTAAATAAAGATAGTTTTTAATGCAGGGATTATTAGCACAATGCTTAGAATAAAATAAGCACTCAGTATATCATGTAGTCTGCATTGTATGTGTATAGACATTTCAATGACACCTTAGGCTTCACTGTGTAAGGAATACGTATTCCCCTCATTTTTCCGCGGCAGGGAGGTAAAGGCTTGGCCCACAGCGTTAACTGGGGTGGGTTAGCTCAAAGAGAAGCACAGGAATGGGCCAGGCCTTGTATGATAGAGCGTCTCATACTGGGGCGTCCACCAGTCTCTCCCAAGAAAGACATTCTCACCTATGTGTGTGTGTCCCGATCTCACAGAGCCGTGATATATACCCTGTGGTGGTCGAGAAGACACAGACCGCTTTGACTCAATTTTCCTATCCCTGAATAGTCATACCGATTTTCACACCTCTCCATTCTGAGTTATTAATTTGGCACCAATTAAAATGAACAAGGGCACCTGGCTGACTCCTTTGGGAGAGCATGGGACTCTTGAGGGTGGGGTCATGAGTTCAAGTGGAAAGAAGAACTGAGATCTTATCATGTGAAATTTCCCAGGTCTCTGCACATCCTCAGGGCACCTGCCAGCTTCCAAGGGAAGTAGTTTCCACAAACCACTCATGTGGGTCCTTTAACAACATGAAAAAAACCCCACCAACTTGTAAGATCTGGAAGAGCAGTTGAGAGGATTAAGAGCACATATAAAGATTTTCTAACTGAGTTTTCAAACACTTAGCAGAGAGAGGCACAGAATCCCCTTTCCCACTGTCTCCAGAATGGTTCAGGACAGAGCAACCCAGCGACAAGGAAAGAGGCTCATCTCCATGGGGCGATGTCTAGAGAGCTCTCCTAGATCCTTGACGCTGGCTTTACAACCCTTCATTCAGGCAGCAAGCCACTAGATTTGTAAGCTGTCCCCACCAGGAAACCTTCTGGACCGTCACCCACAGGATTGTCAGGGGTGTCGTTCCCACTTAAGTGACGGACATCAAAGAGAGGTTCGCAGGATCACTGAGGTAGGAATCAAAATTCATCTGAGGGGCGCCTGGGCGGTTCAGTCGGTTAAGCGCCTGCCTTCAGCTTAGGTCATGATCCCGTTGTCCTGGGATCGAGCCCTGCACTGGGCTCTCTGCTCAGCGGGGAGCCTGCTTCTCTCTCACCCCTTGCTCCTCCCCTCTGCTCATGCTCTCTCTGTGTCAAATAAGTAAATAAATAAAATCTTTTTAAAAAGTTGTCTCCTGAGATAGTCATTTGCAAATGGACTTTGGCTTTTTCTCCCTCGGTTCATTCCTTCAGAAAAACAAAAGGAAGACTTTGGGTGGTAACAGTATGGCTTCTTCAGGTGATACATGGGGCTTACCTCCATTGGGTTATTGAGAATGACATCTGTGTGACTCCTTTGTTACACCGTTCCAAGTCAGTCTCACACTTGTCCTTTCTCTTTCAGGTACCTCTTTCTCCTGGCTGGAGGGGGCGCCCTGGCCTTGGCGGCCATGGGTTCATTCGCTGTGCTTGTCCTCATCCCTGCTCTGTGGGCTGCGGTGCTGATCTCCTGGCTTGGCCCACGGGATGTGCACAGGTGGGCTTTCATCTCCCAGATGAGCTGGCAGACGCTCTGTCACCTGGGGCTGCACTACACCGAATACTATCTTCGAGAACGTCCTTCCACGAGGTAAAGCTCACTTGGTTATACTAACCCAGCCAAGGCTGCGCTTGCACCATGGTGAAAGTGGAGAGAACCTGGGGGATGAGTTTGAATACAAATTCTTGCACACTGGGGCAGTGTGACCTTAGGCAAGTCATTTAACCTCTCAGTCTCAATTTCTTTTCCTAAAAAAACAAGTGTGTGTGT